TCCCGGGGAGTGTTGTTTCCTGGTTTTCTCCCCTCTGTTGAGGCGTATGCTCAGCTTTTTACTTCAGTTGGGAAGAGTTGGTTGTGTTGTTCAGGCATCGGATCCCCGGGCCTGGTTCCAGCCCCAGCCTGGAGCGTGCTCGTTAGGCCTGTGCTGATGTGTATACCACCTAGGTTATACAGCCTGGGGGACACAGTTCAAATTTCTTCTACTGTTGGTAGTCTTGACCCAGGGGCGCTGTTCCTGGCTTGGGCATTTAAGCTCCCTTCCAGGGGCACTCTTGCTCTGGCCTGGCCAGCAGAATATGCTCCACGGGCTGGTGGAGCTCTCGAACAGTTCCCAGTTTTAGTGGGTCCTGTGGTCCGGGTGTTGGGGTAGGGAGTCTAGGTCAGGGTCTGGGGATTCCCTCCAGCTCTGGTCTCCCTTGAGGGATACACTGTCCCCTGTGGGGTACTCACCCTGGAGCTGGTTGTTTCTGTGTGGTGTAGGTCGTCAGTTGTTGTTGCAATCTGAGTTCAGTTGGGGTGGTTGCCGGATGGGTTGGGCGGTGGTGGCTCTGTGTGATTCTTTTCTGTCTCTGCCTCTGTCGAAGCTGTCGGGTCAAAAGTGTCCACGCTCAGGCGGCTTCTTCTCGGGTTGTGATCTGCAGGCAGCCCCCTGTGCCTCTGGGGCCCGGCGGCCCCCGCTGGGTCGTTGCGATCGCGATCGAGCGGGTGGTCCCTTTGTCGCGCTGCTGGTGCCAGGCGGCTTTGGCGGGATGGAGCCTCTCTGCTCCGGTGGAGAGTGAGGGGTGGGGGTGGGATCCTCGTGGAGACTCCTGGCTGGTAGGTTTCTCTGTTCCTGGCGATCCGCTGTTCTGCAAACCGATACCTGGTGATCTGGAAGCAGCCCCCTGTGACTCTGGGGCTCCGGCAGCCCCCGCCGGGCTGGCTGGCCGGCGGCTTGGCGCACTGCCGCGCAGCCAGTAAAGGTTGGGGGAGGGGTCTTCGCTTTTCTCTGTTCTGAAATTCTTCTTTTCCTCTCTTTCTTTTTTTGTTATTTTCCGCCTCTGGTTTTTCTCTGAGTGTTTGTCTTTTTGTTGTTGTCGGTCTCTTGGGGAGATTAAGCGTTGGAACTCGAACTCTCTTTTTGGTTGGAGAGAGCTGTGGCGTTTCCCTACTGCCCCGTCGCCATCTTGGTCCCCCCCGAGATGTTTTCTTTTTAACCCCCAAAATGACCAAAGAAAATGTTCTTGGCATCAAGATCTTTCATCGCTACTCAACACCTTTGGCGGCCTAGGCAAACTCACGTTCTTCTCTCAACTCCTCCAGGCTTCATCTAGTCACTTCCTTTTCTTGGGGACATATGTCTGAACATGGTTTTAAAATATTTTCTTCACCAAAGTACAGCTTAATTATTATGCTCAGAGCCTAACTTAATGCTTTCTTTCCCTGGCATGTTTCTATTTAGATTTACTTAATCTACGTTTATAGGATTAGAATTTAAAATACATCATACCTGGCGTCTTTTCAAATAGTCCAGTGCAATTTGTACATTCTGCAGTCTGTGAAAGCGCATTCGACCTTTCTCCCTGGGCTAAGAATAGACAAAAAGTAGGTAAGAAAATTTAGTGTGCAACACCACTGAACTCTGGTAATTTAAATGTATTAAAATGTATTGATCACAATTTGTGTCATCTGTGACTGAATTTAAACTATCTGAGATTTTTTTTCGGTATGATTTAAACATATACTTCATTCCAAATATTTCCAAAGGAAACTAAAGAACAAACAGACTTTTGATATTCACTAAGAGCAATTCTGGCCTGTAGGTATTTAATTACAGATGCACAAAAGTAACTATCTTTCCCATTTAACACTATTAGCAAGAAGACTTTATAATCAAATATGTGGAATGTTAATGAAAATGAGGTAAAGTAGCATGCGGTTAGTGTAAAAAAAAAAATCACCAAAGAGAAAGATGGTTTTACTCAGCCATGACAGAGGAGGGAGGGGAGCTAGCCCACTGATCACAGAAGAGGGGGAGGGGGCTGGCCCCACTGTACAGTGCCCTTTATTTTAGCCTTCTGTCGAAACCAGACTCTGCAATAGGCAGAGCGGACTTCACTCTGGCTTCCCCTGCACGGGATGGGATGGAATGTGACAGGCCATGAGTATTTCCCTTAACAGCTGGCACAAATCAGCTGAAGGAAAACACAAGGAACAGAGCTGAGCAACGCTTAACAAAAACACAACAAATGGTGCTGAAACTTGCCACAAAAAGAAAAGGGTCAGCATCACTGCTTGAATCTGAAGAGGGTGCGAGAGCGCTAGAGGTATCTGAGCAGGAATCGCAGTAACACTTGTAAATTCACCGTCTTTGATCCAAAAGAAGCACAGTGGCCAAAAAACAGGAAGAGTGGACCCCTAGGGCCAATGACCAGGAGGCTTGGCCATCACAGTGCAGGCCAGCTGTCAGCCCTGGCCTTGATGGGGGTAAAATTAACCAGCTCTTTGGAGTACCAGATCTTAGAATCTTCTTTCCTTCTAAATAATGCCTGCTGCCAATGGGTAGATTTAAAGCAGAAACCTCCCATCTCCATAAGTTCCTACAAGAAAAGCAATAAAGTGCTGCCATGTTCAGAATACTAATTCCAGAAGTGGACTGAATGTGCACAGCTAGCACACTGCCTGTTTGTCTTTGACACATAGCAAACTCCTCAGCCGAAATGCCGGGATGGGGCTGAAGCAGTTCTGCGCGATTCCCACAGGCACGGCATGGAGGAGGCACGGCAAGCCATCGCTTCCGCGCACAGTGTGATGGGGCCTGCTATTCTTTTCTCAAGGGGAGCCCGAGCCCACGATGCTTTCTCCACCAAGCTAACCCACCACACGCTGGACACTAGGTTAGTCGAGTTACGGGGCGACACCTACCCCCTTATCCTCATCCTCCACAGCCTCATGCTGCTCATACTCGCATGCTTCTGGCGCACTCACCAATCGTAAGGTCTTCAAAAAATCTCGCTCCCTCGGCTAATGAACATAACAGACAGAAGAGAGGACGGCAAAGACACAAGACAGACCAGAAATGAAAAGAAGAGCATGAGCAGAAGGTAATGAGGGGACAGGAAGCTGAGAAGGAGGGGAAGACACCTGAGGGACGGGTTAGAACACCTTCCAGAAAGCAGCGTTTATCTCCTTGCTATCTGCGAGTCTTCTAACATGTGGTTACATTACGCATCCAACTTCTCTAATGCAAATAAAAAACCTCAAAGGTAAAAAGGAAGCAAGAGCAAAAGCACTGTTTTAATTACAGAATGTATTATATAAGCAGAATATTCAAAGTGCTCCAATTTCATACCACTGCATGGGAATCTTAGGGGGCTTATTCACGTCTAACCAAAACATTTTTTATTCCCATCTAGGGAGATGAATGCTGCAAACATCTGAAGAGCCTGTGTTGAAAACACCTTGGCCATGTGTAGAAAGGATTGCATGTTCATCCATGGTCACATATGGAATAGATTGCATGCTCATCCGTGGTCATGAATAGAAAAGACTGGATGTTCATCCACAGTCCCATGTGAAAGGGATTGCATGTTTAACCTTGGTCATGTGTTGAAAAAACTGCATGCTTGTCCATGGTCATGTGTGGAAAAAAATTGCATGCTCATCTGTGGTCAGGCACGGAAAGGACTGCATGCGCGTTCATGTGGAAAGGATTTCATGTTCAGCCTCGGCCACATGTGGAAGTATAGGTTCATCCGTGGTCACGTGGGGGAAGGATTACATGTTCACCCGTGGTCACTCGTGGAAAGGATTACATGTTCGTTCACCCGTGGTCACACATGTTCATCCATGGTCAGCCAAGTAAGTTAAGAAACAACTTACCAAGGTGTCCCCAGAAAGAACCTCTAGGAGGGAGATCAAGCTGTGTCCATCCCTCAAGTCTTCATAGAGGTCATTCACGTGTTTGCGAACCTATGAGACAAAGCACAGAATATGGTTCTAGAACTAGGAGTCCTTTACTGTCGAGAACCAGGAGCCCTATTTCTTATATGGCTCTTGTTCATTTTTCGTTTTTACTCTCTAAGTAAAAATTAAATTTAAAAGCCAAAAGAGGAAGTTCAGATTAGTAAATCATGGTGATTATGATTGTTAAAACTTGAACACAATAGAGTAAGAATGGACTGCTGGGGCTGGGAAGGTACTCAGTGGTAGAGCACTTGCCTGGCATGCATGAGGCCCTGGGTTCAATTCCTCAGCACCACATAAGCAGAAAAAGCTGGAAGTGACACTGTGGCTTAAGTGGTAGAGCACTAGCCTTGAGCTCAAGAGCTGAGGGATAGTGCCCAGGCCCAGAGTTCAGGCCACACAATCAACCAAAAAAAAAAAAAAGAAGAAGAAGAAGAAGAAGAAGAAGCAAAGAATGGACTGCTAGAGGAGGCTACAACTCTTCAACCCATGGTTCCTGATTCGGTACCAGGGCTGCCTGGGCCCAGGGCTGGGCTCCTGGTCCCAGCTCCCCTTGAGGAGCCCTGACCACAAGATGGAGGGCACATGGGCTCACATTTCACTTCTGAAAACTCCATGAATAAGCTGGGCATGGTGGTGCACACCCTTAATTCCAGATTCCCTGGAGGATGTGGTCCAAGACCAGCCCTGAGTAAAAACTAAAGCAGAAAATGGCTAGGGTGCATGTCAAGTGGTGGGGCGCTGCTTACGCTTAGCAAGCGCATAGCCTTGAGCTGACCCCGGAGCGGGGCGTGTTTAGGCAGCAGTCCTTCCTTAGAAAATCTATACACACCCTAAATTCATTAAAAAGGTATTATCTGTCCATTTATCTTGGTATCCCAAGGTAAATTAAGTTAAATGACAATCCTCTCAAGTTGTCAATTGTATTTAGGAGATGAACCAATCTTCAAGGCTCTTTCAAGAATGCAGCTGCTCCATGTGTGTGCATGCATGTACACACACACACACACACACACACACACACACACACACAGAGGCTTATAACAAGCTCTAGTGAAATAACCTCTGCTTATCTTCTGTACTTGGTTATCAAAGCTCTGTAACCTTTCATCCAGCCTGATTATAAGGCATGAGGTTGAATTATAAGGCCATGGCCTACTTAAAAACAAGGGTAAGCCTGGCAAGTGGCTCACATGTGTAATCGTAACTACTCAAGAGGCTGAGATCTGGAGGATCATGATTCAAGGACAGCCTGGGCAGAACGTACAAAGCTGGTATGGTGGTGCACACAATGCCATCCCAGCTACTTGGAAAGCAAAAATAGGAGGACCATGCAACAAGCCGGCTCAGCAGACACTGAGACCCTTTCTCAAAAACAGTCAAAGTAAAAAAGCTGGGGGCATGGCTCAATTAGTAGAGTGCCTGCCCAGCAAGTGCCAGGCCCTGAGTTCAAGTCCAGTACTGCCCCAGAGCTAGACCTGTCAACTTTAAAAGAAAATGTGTAAGATGAAGCCACTTTCAAGGCCTGTGACCTTACTTCTTTAGATCTGAAGGCAGGAAACACAGAAATACGCCAATCTGATTTCTGCAGCACTTTATCTGGAGTGCTGGCACCATGTAGCACTGCCTCTCTGTCCCAGGGAGGCTCTGGAGACCCACAGAAACAATGTGTGTGGAATCCCCTCCTCCCATGGAGGCCATGAGGACAGGCGGGGGTTGGGGAAAGCGCTAGCGTCTCACGTATGGGGCCTGGGTTGGACCTAAAGCACTGCAACACAAACGAACGCATGATGCTGTTATCTTCACGTTTTCTGTTCTCAAGAGAGCACGCATCCCCATTATTAGCAACAAGAAATCCACACGGGTTCTGAGCACCTGCACCCATGCGCTCATTTTCCTCACAGGTACAGTGCAAGACAGTACTGGGAGAAAACTGAAAAACCAACATCACAAGGAGGGGGAAAGTTGGGTTTGATCTGGGAAGCAATTCTGGAGAACAGGAAGTGAAATCCTAGCTAAGCCTATCCAGAACTTAGCAATTTCATTCTGTCCAAAGTCTGAGTCACAGGCACTGGGCCTGGAAACTTCCTTCACAGATGACTGTACTGCCTGCACACACCCTTAGCCTTCTGCCTCCTGTTTTCAATAAAACATTCTTTCTTCTCTTTTTGGAAACTGTCTCCCTGTGGGATGAAAACCTGTCTGAATAAATAGAGCCCCAGAGGTGATGAGCAGACACAGGCAGCGCGGGGCACCCTGGGTCGGGTTACGTAACCTGAGTTACGTAAGGAGAGGCATGCGGTTTTCTGGGTGTCACACACGTTCTCCCCCAGCTCTGCAGTGCTTCCTAGGGTGTGCGCACCGTGCTGCTCCCACGGCCACCCCAGGAGCGCTGTCCTGTGTGGACAGAAACACAGGCACAAGAAAAGCATCTCTGGGAGAAAGGAAGCCAAAGCCTGAACACGGCCAGCACTGGTGACCACAGACAGTGCAACAGGGTCACACACAAGATCTCTACTGCCCTGACGGACTGCTGCTGGAAAAAATCTACTTGTCCAGAAATTCCATCTGTGAACTTCTCCACTCACTTTTACCTGGGCTAGACACGTCTGTCCTTGGAGAAGAAGTCAGTCATCTTTAGAGCTTATTGACTGCCCAGCCGCCTTGTCAACAGTCTGACTTTGCCGTGGCTCACCATTAGACAAATGCCTCCTGTCTGTAAGTGTGGCTGGCATTCACTAGCACCTGTGGCAGGCACACACACAGGCCAGGAACCCAGCCTCTGGGGCCTGCGGTCTGGTGGGAGGGGCCACAGGGATGACGATGAGGGAGAAGGGCTGCAGGAAGGCCTCCATCTGCAGACACCGGTCGGCAGACATCAAAGGGGAGCCCGTACCCCATGCACAGAAGAACGCTGGGGACAGCTTCGAACCCCCATTGGCCTGGCAGTGGGCTAGCGCAATCTCCAGGGACACATCTTTCTCACCATTCTGTTTTATTTCCCTCCCACAAGGCCAGCCCAGAGACTCAGTCCTTGTCCTTTGTCCTATCACTTGTCTAAAAAGAGGACCTGTCTGCTGGAATAAAAGCCACCTCTTCTGAAGCCACTCCCGGGCATCTCCCGTGGTTCCTCTTGTTCATTCCTCATTTTGGGCATCCAGCTAAGAACCAGGGAAGAGGAAGGAACCCTCCCCAACACTGAACAGTATACTAGCTCCAGCCAGCCCAAACCACTAGTAAAGCCACAGGCCCACAGAGGGCTCCTCTGGAAAAAGGAATGAGGATCCTTAGATAAAAAGAGAAGCATAGCATAAGCCACACAAAGGCCCGACAGGCCTGGTTGAAGACCCAATATTCAGAACAAAGCTCACTGTCTTCAGGAAAGACCATAAATAATCAAAGACGGCTTGTCCCACGGGAGATGGCCTCACTGCCTTCCGCTACTAACGGACGGACAAGAAGGAGCGCAGCTCGCTTTAGGGAAACTACAACATCAAGAAGGAGCGCAGCTCGCTTTAGGGAAACTAAAACATCAAGAAGGAGCACAGCTCGCTTTAGTGAAGCTACAACATCAAGAAGGAGCGCAGCTCGCTTTAGTGAAGCTACAACATCAAATGGGTTTGATTCAGTTTCTGTAGTTCATGGGCAAACATGAAAAATAGTCCATTGTAGTCTCTATGACAGATCCTTAAAAGACTTCAAGAAAATAGTGTAACAATAATTTTACCATGTTATTGATGAGTAAATTGATGTTTTTTAAAGATATGCTTGAAAACAATGTATTCTATTAGAACACCATCTAGACAATTTCACTTACTACAAATTTCAGTGCTATTTCTTCTGCAATTGTGAAATCACAACATGGATTTTTACCTAAATTATTATAAATTTCAAACTGGTATTAGAAAATATCCTTATTTAGATGAGAAAATGATGGCCACAAGACCATACATAACTGATCTGCTTTATAGTTCCTTTAAATATAAAATAAAGTTATCTGTCACACACCTTCAAGTATACAGGATAAAACATGAGAAAATTAAAACAACATCAGCAGTGTTTGCTTCATAAATGTCTTTTCCAGTGTCACCACAAGGGGGTGCTACAGGGAGTTCACATAAGTGTTAAGGTTTTAAGAAGCTATTTCCATTTTTAAAATTTTATTTTATCTATTCTAACCCTTAATCAGAAAAATTTTATTAATGTCAATGTGATGGACAGAGGTGTTACAGTTACAGAAATAAGGTAATAAGATGTATTTTTTTATTTCAGTCTGGTTCTTGTGCTGGCTCTGGATCAGTAGAATTCCATCTTCCTTCTAGCCTTTCCTCCTCTAAACAGGAAAACAGACAAAAGTCTACTCTAAAAAGAGTTCCCTTCTTGCCAGATGTGCAGGTCCTGGCCCGGGGGTGGGGGGGGGGGAGCCAGAAGCAAACCCATTCCTCACACTTTTCTGGCGTCCGTCCACTGACTAGCAAGCAAGCAAGGAGGGAAGGAGGGAAGGAGAGAAGGGGGAAAGTGGGAAGGCGGGAAGGAGAGAAGTCAGGAAGGAGGGAAGGCGAGAAAGAGGGAAGGGGGAAGGTGGGAAGGCAGGAAGGAGGGAAAGAGGAAAGGAGGGCAGGAGGAAGGTGGAAAAGTGGGAAGGAGAGAAGGAAGGAAGGAGGAAAGGAGGGCAAGAGGAAGGTGGAAAAGCAGGAAGGAGAGAAGGAAGGAGGAAAGGAGGGAAGGAGGAAGGTGGGAAGGCTAGAAGGAGGAAGGACCTCACTGTATAAGAAGCAGGGTCTTAGGTTAGACTGAAGTACACTGATGTGCCATATCTGTAAGAAAGGTACATATCTTCACTTTAAGAGCTTTTCAACTGCTTTCCCAGTGCATCCTTTTAGAAATCTTTCTTTAAGCCGTTTATCATGACAAATCCACGGCAAGTGCTATCACTGCAGTTTTATTCTGAAGAGCTGAGAAGGCGCCAGGATTGGCATCCTCTGCTCAGTGCTTGCCCATTCTTC